TTCTCTTTTTCACCCTCCATTTGTGCCTCTTCAAATTCTGCAGCACTGCTGGTCACAGCTGACCTCCAGCTGGAGCGCTCAAGAGCCAGGGCTTCCCAGTTCTTGGTGTCTATGCCAGAGTTGTTAAGGTTGGCTTTGAGCCCATCTTTCAATCTTTTTTCCTGTCCACCAACATTCCGTTTTCCGTTCTTGAGTTCAGAGTAGAGGAACTGCTTTGGGAGACGGTGGTCGGGCATCTGGACGTTACCATCTATTGAACGTTATACATAACGTTACCATATATTGAACTGCATTTTCTGTCAATTTGTTGTAAAACATGATGTTTTGGTGCTTAATTTGTGAAATCATAATGTAATTTGACGTTTAATAGGCTTTTCCTTAATCCCTCCTTGTTATCCAACATTTCTGCTTATCCAGCGCCCTGCCGGCCCGTTGATGTTGGAGAAGCGAGACTCTACTGTATATTGAAATTATCTTCTGTGGTGTAGGAACCTGTCCCCATTCTTTCTTTATCACTTCTGTCTCTGATGCCAGTTTGTCTGTTAAAGGAATACTCAGGAACATATCTGCCTGGTTAACTGGGTGTGTGTTTTTTTCTATTTGTTGGTCAACCAAATATTTTGGATGCTCGCAACCAGGGCAAGGATCCAGTGAAAACAAAATCACCTTTTAAAAATCCTCAACACCTGTTATTCAGAGTTACAGCCCCTTTCTAGCGGAAGGTTTTATTTAGCTATCGGCGCTCACAGATTGGGGAGGCAGGCACGGCCTCCATAAATTTGTGTATCCCTTCTGTGGTATTGAATCTCATAGATTACTTATTAACCGTATGACGGCGTGCTTCCTCCGGTCAATGATATATTTCGCTTGCATTTCAATGCTGTCTCACTCATGCCGAGACCAAATAATAATAAGGATGGTTGTTTTCCCAGTGATGAACCCTTCTCCAAAGGAGTTTGCTTCTCTTGATCTATATCTATATAAATAAAAATGTAATGTTCGTTTGTGGGATAAACATAACTCAAAAACTACTGGACGAATTGCCGCTAAATTTGGCCACAAGACACCTACTAACCCAAGGAGTGACCATCACTCAAAAATTGTGATTTTGTCATTTGGGAGTTGTAGTTGCTGGGATTTATAGTTTTCTTGCAATCAAAGAGCATTCTGAACACCACCAATGATGGAATTGAACCAAACTTGGCACATAGGACTTCCATGACCAACAGAAAACACTAGAAGGGTTTGGTGGGCATTGACCTTGAGTTTGGGAGTTGTAGTTCACCTACATCCAGAGAGCACTGTGGATTCAAACAATGATGGATCTGGACCAAACTTGGCACGAATATTCCATATGCCCAAATATGAACACAGATGGAGTTTGGGGGAAATCGACCTTGACATTTGGGAGTTGTAGTTACTGGGATTTATAGTTCACCTACAATCAGAGAGCATGCTGAACCCCACCAATGACAGAATTGGGGCAAACTTCCCACCCACCCAGAACCCCCATACTTAAGGCCATCCAGTCCAACTCCCATCACCAGGACAAGAAAACATAATTAAAGCCCTCCTGAGAAAGAGCCATCCAGACATATATATAAATAGATATATAGAAACCAACACATTCTCATTACTTTATTTTCCAGATCACCAGACTGGGCCACAGCAACGTGTGGCAGGAAACAGCTAGTGATAAGATAAATTCTGCAGGTGACACTTTAAACACAACTGCCATGTATTGCAACAATGATAATTGTATTGTAACCAGTGCCTATGGTTCAATAAGCCCTGAGCAATCTGTCCTGGAAGGGGAATGTCATAATATAAGACTTGGTACGATATTGGCGCCTCTTCAGACAGGGATGTAAACAACAACCAGAAGGATGATTGCACACACATGGCTGTTGAAGTCTACAATTGCTAGTTAGGAAACATATCCACTCATGCTAGCAGGAAACTCAAAAGTATGACTGAATAAGCCTGCGCTTATTTAAGCAATGTCAAGTTCCATTCCTAGTGTATAGATAGTTTTGGTCCGTGCACTCTGAATACCTCATTTGTTTGGCTGGCTTTTGAGTTACGTTGCCTTTGGCAGAACTTGTTGTGTGCCTTCAAGTCATTCCTGATTTATGCCGACCTTGAGGTGAACTTTCCACAGGGTTTTCTTGGCAGGAGTTTTTCAGACAAGGTTTGCCTTTGCCTTCCTATGAGGCTGAGAGAGGATGACTTCCCGAATGTCATGGTCAAGCGGGATTTGAACCCTGATCTCCCAGTATCACAGCCCCAACACCTACCTCGCACCAACATCATATTTTTGGTCCAAGCCTTCTGAATGACTCATTTGTTTGACTTTTGAATTGCATTGAGTTTGGCAGATTGTGCCTCTTGATAAATGGATGTCTGGGGATTTTTATGTAACACTCATGATATATAACTCCAGTGAGCTAAGAGAATAACCTTTGAACCAGTAGCACACTCAAAAGTTAAGCAAATTTATTAAAAGGACCAGCCGTCCCCTGCCACGCGTTGCTGTGGCCCACATGGGGGTTCTTTGTGGGAAGTTTGGCCCAATTCTATCGTTGGTGGGATTGTAGGTGAACTATAAATCCCAGCAACTACAACTCCCAAATGTCAAGATTCTATTTTCCCCAAACTCTACCAGTGTTCACATTTGGGCATATTGAGTATTCGTGTAGAGTTTGGTCCAGATCCATCATTGTTTGAGTCCAAAGTGATCTCTGGATGTAGGTGAACTACAACTCCCAAACTCAAGGTCAATGCCCACCAAACCCTTCCAGTATTTTCTGTTGGTCATGGGAGATCTGTGTGCCAAGTTTGGTTCAATTCCCTCATTGGTGGAGTTCAGAATGCTCTTTGATTGTAGGTGAACTATAAATCCCAGCAACTACAACTCCCAAATGACAAAATCATTTTTTTTTGAGTGAAGGACATACATTGGCCTGATAGGTGTCTTGTGTCCAAATTTGGTGTCAATTCGTCGAGTGGTTATTGAGTTCTGTTAATCCCACAAACGAACATTACATTTTTATTTATATAGATAGAGAAGGCAGTGTAAAGCAATGCATGGCACAGTGAAAATTTAAAATAGGAGATAACCATAAGAAGAATAATTACATGATAACACTTGAAACAACAATAATATATATTGTCGAAGGCTTTCATGGCTGGAATAACTGGGTTGTTGTAGGTTTTTTGGACTATATGGCCATGTTCTAGAAGCATTCTCTCCTGATGTTTCACCTGCATCTGTGTCAAGCATCCTTAGGATGCTTTTTCGGCCTTATAGCCTGAAAAACCTACAACAACCCAACAATAATATGGCTAACAAAGGATACAGTAATTAAAGCCACTGATTGTTTTGGTATATAAACATAAAATATAAACATAAACACCTCTTGCAATAACCTAAAAGTAAAATAGAGGAGGAAATATTGATCTAAACCAGTGGCTCCCAACCTTTTGGTGACCCGGGACCACTTGACCAGGGACCACTCTCCAACATTAGTACCAAAAGGGTTATGAATCAGTTTTTAGTCAAGTTTAGATTTGGTTTGGTTATTTGGAGTGCCAATTCAGAAAGTTGTGCTGGATAGACCACATCAGCTCTAGTTTCTGATCCAGAACATATGTCATCCAGTAGTCGCCATCTGCTTGCGCACAGAAAACCATATTTAATCATCTAGAGCTGATGTAGTCTATCCAATGCAATTTTCTGAATCAGCACCCCAAATAACCCCAGGAACAGGCCTAAAAAAATGAAGACACCAAGGCGCCCCATGGAATGGCTCCACTTGTGGGGAGGAAGGAAGAGGAGAAGCAGCAGTCGGGAGGCTTGTTGTCGTGCCTTTCATGATAGTCCGCCTTTCCCCTCCCGACATCTCTGTTGCTTGAGCACTATAAGAGGCCTCACAACTGACCAGATCAATCTGATTGAACATCAGAAGAAACCTCTTGACTGTAGGAAGGTGTTACCTGGACATAGAATCATAGAATCAAAGAGTTGGAAGAGACCTCCTGGGCCATCCAGCCCAACCCCATTCTGCCAAGAAGCAGGAATATTGCATTCAAAGCACCCCTGACAGATGGCCATCCAGACTCTATTTAAAAGCTTCCAAAGAAGGAGCCTCCACCACACTCCGGGGCAGAGAGTTCCACTGCTGAACGGCTCTCACAGTCAGGAAGTTCTTCCTCATGTTCAGATGGAATCTCCTTTCTTGTAGTTTGAAGCCATTGTTCCCTTGCATCCTAGTCTCCAGGGAAGCAGAAAACAAGCTTGCTCCCTCCTCCCTGTGGCTTCCTCTCACATATTTATACATGGCTATCATATCTCCTCTCAGCCTTCTCTTCTTCAGGCTAAACATGCCCAGCTCCTTAAGCCGCTCCTCATAGGTCTTGTTCTCCAGACCCTTGATCATTTTAGTCGCCCTCCTCTGGACACATTCCAGCTTGTCAATATCTCTCTTGAATTGTGGTGCCCAGAATTGGACACAATATTCCAGGTGTGGTCTAACCAAAGCGGAATAGAGCATGGGGAGCATGACTTCCCTGGATCTAGACACTATGCTTCTATTGATACATGACCAAATATAGGCTGGACTGCTGGAGATGCTTTCTGGAGAGCCTTGTGAGGAGGAGTCGTGGCTTGTGGGGCCCTTTCCAACTTTATGATCCTAATGGGGAATGGTCAGTTTTCATCACAAAATTAAAAACTTGATTTATTGCAATAAAATAAAATAAAAATAAATCCAGACTACTCTGCTTATTTATATCAGATGCACATTTCTAGCCATCGGTCAAGTCGGTTTGGGGGGAAATGGGCAGTAGTCTTGTCACATTGCCAGTTCTCAAGGATCAGGCGGGTACCTTCAGGCAGTGATTTCTCATGACTGATATGTTGCTTCCCACGTGGAGAAAACTGATTCGTCAACCACTGCGTGAACTCTGGAATCTCTTTGGAACATTTTGCAGTGATTACACATCCTGGCTGGCTTACATACACCTGACCGCTGTTCCATTCCAGCAGTGATGCAAGGCCAAACGCCACTGCAGTTGGGATTGCTTTGAAGCAAAGCAGATCTCTCTCCAAAGCCTGTTCATGCCTCTTTTGCCTCTCTCTGTCACTCTTGGGTTGTGGTTCCTGTTCTTCTTTGCATACCTGCCTCTGACTTGGGTTCAGCGTCTGTAACTAAAAGGTAAGGTGAGCAACAAAATACTCTGAGCAAGTCAGAGAATTTCTGAACTTGCAAAAGAACTAGGCTTGGACTTGAGCCGTGTTCATTATAGGCCAGGCTTAGTAAACAGCTCCTTAGGATGTATCGGTGAAGGCTTTCATGGATTGCTGTGAGTCTTCTGGGCTATATGGCCATGTTCCAGAAGCATTCTCTCCTGATGTTTCACCTGCATCTATGGCAGGCATCCTCAGAGGTTGTGAAGTCTGTTGGAAACTAGGCAAGTGGGGTTTATATCCTTGTGGAATGATGTCCAGGGTGGGAGAAAGAACTCTTGTCTTGTCGAAGGCTTTCATGGCTGGAATCACTGGGTTGCTGTAGGTTTTTTGGGCTACATGGCCATGTTCTAGAAGCATTCTCTCGTGATGTTTCGCCTTCATCTATGGCAGGAACCCTCAGAGGTTGTGAGGTCTGTTGGAAACTAGGCAAGTGGGGTTGATATCCTTGTGGAATTATGTCCAGGGTGGGAGAAAGAACTCTCGTCTTGTCGAAGGCTTTCATTGCTGGAATCACTGGGTCGTCGTAGGTTTTCAGGCTATATGGCCATGTTCCAGAAGCATTCTCTCCTGATGTTTCGACTGCATCTATGGCAGGCATCCTCAGAGGTTGTGAGTCTGTTGGAAACTAGGCAAGTGTGGTTGATATCCTTGTGGAATGATGTCCAGGATGGGAGAAAGAACTCTCGTCTTGTCGAAGGCTTTCATGGCTGGAATCACTGGGTCGTCGTAGGTTTTTTGGGCTACATGGACATGTTCCAGAAGCATTCTCTCCTGATGTTTCACCTGCATCTATGGCAGGCATCCTCAGAGGTTGTGAGGTCTGTTGGAAACTAGGCAAGTGTGGTTGATATCCGTGTGGAATGATGTCCAGAATGGGAGAAAGAACTCTCGTCTTGTCGAAGGCTTTCATGGCTGGAATCACTGGGTCGTCGTAGGTTTTTTGGGCTACATGGACATGTTCCAGAAGCATTCTCTCCTGATGTTTCACCTGCATCTATGGCAGGCATCCTCAGAGGTTGTGAGGTCTGTTGGAAACTAGGCAAGTGGGGTTGATCTCCTTGTGGAATTATGTCCAGGGTGGGAGAAAGAACTCTCGTCTTGTTGAAGACTTTCATGGCTGGAATCACTGGGTTGCTGTAGGTTTTTTGGGCTACATGGCCATGTTCTAGAAGCATTCTCTCGTGATGTTTCGCCTTCATCTATGGCAGGCACCCTCAGAGGTTGTGAAGTCTGTTGGAAACTAGGCAAGTGGGGTTGATATCCTTGTGGAAGGATGTCCAGGGTGGGAGAAAGAACTCTTGTCTTGTCGAAGGCTTTCATGGCTGGAATCACAGGGTTGCCGTAGGTTTTTCGGGCTACTTGGCCATGTTCTAGAACAGGGGTCCTCAAACTATGGCCTGAGGGCCGGATGCGGCCCTCCAAGGTCATTTACCCGCCCTCGCTCAGGGTCAACTTAAGTCTGAAATTGCTTGAAAGCACACAACAACAACAACAACAACAACAACAACAACAACAACAATCCTGTCTCATCAGCCAAAAGTAGGCCCACGCTTCCCATTGAAATACGATTGTAGCGCAGCTGGCTGAGTGTCAGCTGCATTAAGATCACTCTGACCATAAGGTCATGAGTTCGAAGCCAGCCCATATTGGAGTGGGTTTCCAACCAATTGTGTAGCCTATTGTTGACCTTTGCAACCCGAAAGACATTTGCATCTGTCAAGTAGGAAAATTAGGTACCACCTTAAAGTGTGGGGAGGCTAAATTAACTAATTTATGAGGCCATAAAAAAGACTCTAGCAAGCACTCCAGCGGGGAAGCATGCGGGGAATGCGGAAGTACTTCATCAGCGTCGCAGATGGACGATGAAAGCGACAGCTCCCCTGGTGGCCAGAAAAAAGTTAAATAGCCTTTGTGTATGTCTGTATATGTTGTATGTTAAAATTGGCATTGAATGTTTGCCATATATGTGTACACTGTAGTCCCTGCGGGGTGAGAAGGGCAGAATATAAAAGCTGTAAATAAATAAATAAATAATATTTTTTGGTTAAAACAGTTCTTCATGTTAATTATTGTATTGTTTAAATGTTATTTACACTACAAATAAAATACGTATGCACATAGGAATTCGTTCATTTTTTTTTTCAAATTATAATCCGGCTCTCCAAAAGTTTGAGGGACTGTGACCTGGCCTTCTGTTTAAAAAGTTTGAGGACCCCTGTTCTAGAAGCATTCTCTCCTGACATTTCGCCTGCATCTACAGCAAGCATCCTCAGAGGTTGTGAGGTTGTGATGACCTCACAACCTCTGAGAATTTTTTTTTTGTCGTGTCGGGAGCATCCTGTTGTGAGAGAATTGGCCGTCTGCAAGGACGTTGCCCAGGGGATGCCCGGATGATTTTTGATGTTTTATCATCCTTGTGGAAGGCTCCTCTTATGTCCCTGCATGAGGAGCTGGAGCTGATAGAGGGAGCTCAACCGCCTCTCCCCGGATTTGAACCTGTGACCTGTCAGTCTTCAGTCCTGCCAGCACAGGACCCACTGCGTTAACCCACTGCGTCACCGGGGGCTCCAACACCTCTGAGGATGCTTGCTGTAGATCAGTGGTTCTCAACCTGGGGTCCCCAGATGTTTTGGCCTTCAACTCCCAGAAATCCTAACAGCTGGTAAATTGGCTGGGATTTCTGGGAGTTGTAGACCAAAAACATCTGGGGACTCCAGGTTGAGAACCACTGCTGTACATGCAGGCAAAACGTCAGGAATGCTTCTAGAACATGGCCATATAGCCCGAAAAACTTGCAACAACCCAACTCTTATCTGTTTGAGGTAGGTGTGAATGTTGCAATTGTCCACCTTGATTAGCATTGAATTGCCTTGAATGGAATAATTTGCTATTCTTTCTCTTCCTCTCCTAGTGTTTGGGATCTGGGAATGCCGTGCCCTCTGGAGCAGTTGCTAAAGGAAGAGGAAATACTCTCCGAGTAACTTTGTGCGATGGATTAAAGCCATAGTCGTTTGGAATGATGCTGCCCACGGGCTACACAAGAGACTCAGAGTTGTGTTTTGCGCCCCACAGGCAAGGACTGTAGCTGTGCCAGCCGGTGTCTCTCCTCCAATGCCGGTCAAGGGAAGGAGCTCCCCTCAGCCCTGCAAAGAGACACCTCATGCCCTCGGTCGGCCAGAGGGGCCTCATTTCCCTACCTTTCCAGGAGCTTCTCCTTTATCTAGCTTAGCTGACTGCCCTTTGTGTAGCTGTCCCACACAGGACCAGTCTTCACCGCTCCCCTCTCTACTGCTGTGGCATCATCTTTCCAAGCTTGATGATGGGGATTCTTGCCAACCCCAAGGCCACTGGAGGCCGGCTGTGAACTTCCAAATGGCGTGCCTTATAGGCCGTGGACCGACTGCATGCACGAGGGTGCCGCTGAGTGATCGGAGAACTGGCTGATTGTTCCCGGCAGCCTCTTTCTGCCTGCCTCAGGATTTTGGAGGGCCTCCCCAACCCCCCGCCCCCTCCCTCTCACCATGTTCCTCCTGCTGCCATTTGACAGCCTGGTGGTGAACCTGCTGGGCATTTCCCTGACTGTCCTCTTCACCCTGCTCTTGGTCTTCATCATTGTGCCAGCCATCTTTGGAGTTTCCTTTGGCATCCGTCGGCTCTACATGAAAACTCTGCTGCAGATCTTCCAGGTGAGTCAGTCTGCTTGATGTTGCTTGGAGAGGAGGAGGAGGAGGAATGTTGGGTGATGTCAGCAGCCCCAGGCCATAGGCAGGCATGAATCATGGCTTTTCGATGACCGACTTTGCAAGCTGGATGAGTAATCTGGGAGGTTTGGCTAAGCCTCAGGTTGTTCCAGCCTGTGTCCAGTCAGGTGACTTCTGACTGTCTGCGTCAGTAGTTTCTCCTTGACAGCTTTCAGTCCAGGAATTCTCACAGAGCTCCAGATCCTGATTATCTTGCAATCTTATGAAATAAAAACACAGGAAATTTTAGGTCCAGAAATCTGTTGACATGTTTTTAATTTGTAGTAGTAATTTTATTGATTAGCCCTTAGGCTATATCACAATAAGAAACAGAACAACAAGGCCTGACAAGACCTGATCACACTCCACGTAGAAAGTTAAAATAAGACACTTATAATAATACAGTAAATACATATGATAAGACATGATAAAACTGATAAACTGATCAAGCTGAGTATATACATCATATTTCATTATCACCCCTACAATTTACCCCAATCAGCCCTACATATGTGGTTCTCAGACGTATTGTTTTGCTTAAGTACAGAGATGTTTTATATGTTATTTGTGGGTCTTGGCCACACATAAACTATGTTGTTCTGATGAGAGATTCCCAATACATTGTCCGTTTGATATATGGACCAAGGTGGAAGTCTCTCACCTTTTGATACAATTTGCAATCAAACAATATGTGTGCTATATCCTCAATTTCAGGTGCCCCACAGATACAACTCCGTTCATTATAAGGGATGCTGTTAAATCTCCCGTATCTAACCATTGTCTCGAGCTGATCAAATCTGGCTCGAGTGAATACCTCCCTGAGATGTTTTGGCATTTGCATGTTTAGGTTGTTAGTAGTTTGAAAGGTACGTTTATATTGACTCAGCCATTTTAGGTTAGCAGTCTTACTGAGGGTGGAGATATCTTTTTGTGCTTCTATATCCAAAATTCTTTGTATACCACCCTTTCTTACTTGGTCATTTGAGGCGCAGGAGACAGGAAGCCCACAACTTCTTATATAATTTGTCAGTTGTGTAATCCAGGAGGTCAGTAGTTGGAATTTTATCTGTTCAGGGATTGGGAGGATTACTATCAAGGTTTGTTTGCTTTAACAGAACCAGATTTTTGGACACTGGCTGTGGGGCGAGGGAATTCTAGCAGATACAACCCCACAAGCCATGTTCCACGTTTTGGCAAGGACCCCTCCACTTTGCAGCAGTGGGACATGATGTCAGTGGCATTGGCAGCACAGCAAGGCAGGAACTGATCAATTACAGCCATCTTAGGCTATAAACTACTTTATTTTACAGCTATATACATCAGTTAAAGATTTTTCCCTGACATGAAGTCCAGTCGTGTCCGACTCTGGAGTGTGGTGCTCATCTCCATTTCTAAGCCGAAGAGCCAGCATTGTCCATAGACACCTCCAAGGTCATGTGGCTGGCATGACTGCAAGGAGCGTCATTATCTTCCCGCCGGAACAGTACCTATTTTTTTAAAAGAAATTTTATTAAATGTTTATATAGAATACAACGAAAGAGTGAGAACAATAAGGTATAGAAAAGTGAAGGAAAAAAAGAGAAAGGGAAAGGCCAGCAAAGTAAAAAGTAAAAAGGACATCCTAAATAAACCCTAAAAAAAAAAGAAAAAAAAGATATATATATATATATATATATATACACACACACACATACACACGCACGCACACACACACACACACACACACACATACTACAAAAATACATCCACACTCACACACACACACACAAGGGTGACTTCCATTCCATCTTCTTGGATAAAATATTCTTATTATTCAAAAATATATAAAAATTTTTTTATTAAAGATAATAAAATTGTCTCTCTTGTTTTTTATTTTTGCAAATTGTCCAGATAGTCATGAAGGTTGTCCCAATTCGTTCTTTTTATTATAATGCCTGTATTTTTCTTCAACAAAAAAGTCAATTCGTCCATGTCCTTATTTCTCTGATTTTTTCCACCCAATCCTGTACGGGTGGTACTGAATCTTGCTTCCACTCTCTAGCAAAAACAATTCTAGCGATGGTCATAATATATGTAAAAAGTTTGTCCTCTTGTTCCATCAGTTGTAGATCCAAATCTGTAAAGCCTAACAAGTAATACTCTGGTTTTCTTGTAAAAGTTCTTTTTAAGATCTTTTGCATCTCTTCATGAATTATCCTCCAAAACTTTACTGCTTCTTTACAAGTACCTATTGATCTACTCACATTTGCATGTTTTCAAACTGCTAGGTTGGCAGAAGCTGGGGCTGACAGCGGAAGCTCATGCCGCTCCCCGGATTCGAACCTGCGACCTTTCGGTCAGCAAGCTCCGCAGCTCAGCGCTGTAACCCACTGTGCCACCGAGGGCTCATATACATTAGAAGCTACTTAACACTCAGCACATCCTAAACTTGCTTTTTTACCATCCAATCGTAACATTGCGAACACACTAACTGTTATCAGTACTAGTCCACACCTCTTGCATTCCAGAGTGACGTATAACGTACGATGCATGACCCTGCGTCCATTCGTTCTATACACTTGATTTATGACCTCTCTAGGAATGCTGTTCCCTCCATGGTTCAGTTAACTCTTTCCACACAGGAATACATTACGCTCGTCACATAGCTACTGCATTTTAAACATACGGACATACATACATACATACTTGGAAATCTATATATATAAAAATGCTCTGTGCGTAATGAGTACCTTAAAAACAAAAGAACCAATGAACGAAATAACACCAAATTTGGCAGCAAAACATCTCACAACACAAGGAGTGACATCACTCAACAAATTATGATTTTGTCATTTGAGAGTTGTAGTTGTTGGGATTTATAGTTCACCTATAATCAAAGAGCATTCTGAACTCCCATCAACGATGGAATTGAACCAAACTTGGCACACAGAACTCCTCTGACCAACAGAAAACACTAGAAGGGTTTGGTGGGCATTGACCTTGAGTTTTGGAGCTGTAGTTCACCTACATCTAGAGAGTACTATGGACTCAAAAATGATGGATCTGGACCAAACTTGGCACAAATACTCTATATGCCCAAATATAAACACAAATGGAGTTCGGGGGAAATAGACCTTGACATTTGGGAGTTGTAGTTAATGGGATTTATAGTTCACCTACAATCAAGGAGCATTCTGAATCCCACACACGACAGAATTGGGGCAAACATCCCACACAGAACTGTCATGACCAACAGTGTTTTCTGGTGGTCTTTGGTGACCCTTCTGACACCCCCTGGTGACCCTCCCCCCCTCCCGGGGTCTTGACTTACAAACTTGTTATACTGTTCAAATTCACAGTAATCTATATAAATAAAAATGTAATGTTCGTTTGTGGGATTAACAGAACTCAAAAACCACTGGATGAATTGACACCAAATTTGGACACAAGACACCTAACAACCCAATGTATGTCCCTCACTCAAAAATATTGAGTTTGTCATTTGGGAGTTGTAGTTCTTGGGATTTATAGTTCACCTACAATCAAAGAGCATTCTGAACTCCACCAATGATGGAATAGGGCCAAACATGGCACACAGGACTCCCATGACCAACAGAAAACACTAGAAGGGTTTGGTGGGCATTGACTTTGTATTTGGGAGTTGTAAGTCACCCACACCACACAGATCTCCCATGACCAACAGAAAATACTTAAGGCCATCCAGTCCAACTTCCTTCATCAGGACAAGAAAACATAATCAAACCCCTCCTGACAAAGAGCCATCCAGCCATTCACACACACACACATATATGTATATGACAGATGCAGTATCAAAGATTTGAAAGAAGAACATTGATATGTTGCATGTTCCAAAGTAGGCAAACCAGACACTCTCCACATCAACACTGACAAAGAAACAACAAGAAATACTGTTTACGAGCATAAAGACATGACATATATTAGAAACCAATACTTTCTCATTAGATCACCAGATTGGGCCACAGCAACGCGTGGCAGGGGACCGCTAGTCTACATTATAAATTGCAAACAGCTTCAACACATGAAACCAGTGGGCAGTCCCCACTTATCGCTGCAACTTGGAGGCCAAGTCAGCTTTGATGGGAGGAACTTAATCCAGTCTTTAAGGAGCCGTCTCACCCATGGCTGTCCGTCCCATCTCCCAGCCACAAATTCCGTGTCAGCTGCATATAATTGTGAATCCTAAACCGCCTCTCCTTGTCTTCCAGTGGGCAACGCTGAGGATCGAGCGTGGTGCCAAAGAGAAGAACCACCTGCTTTATAAACCCTATGTCAATGGTAGGAGGCTATGTTGACCTTATGGTGGAGGGACGGGGTGGGGTGGGGGCCTTGCCATCTTTCCCTGTGTGACTGAGAAAGTATCCTATCTTTTTGCAGGCATCATTGCAAAGGAGCCCACTTCGCTGGAGGAGGAAATCAAGGAGATCAGGCGCAGCGGGAGCAACAAGGCCTTGGACACGCCGGAGTTTGAGCTCTCCGATATCTTCTATTTCTGCCGCAAGGGCATTGAGACCATTATGGATGACGAGGTGACCAAGCGCTTCTCGGCCGAAGAGTTGGAATCTTGGAACCTGTTGAGCAGAACCAACTATAATTTCCACTACATCAGCTTGCGCCTCACAGTCTTGTGGGGTCTGGGTGTCTTGATCCGCTACTGCATCTTGCTGCCACTCAGGTAAGGCCTAGCTTTGGATTGGGCAGTGGGAAGATCAGGTCTGGCATTTCCGGTGTTTTCTGTCGTATGCTTCTTGGCGTGAAACCTTGGTGGTAAAGTCAGTACTCTGTGTGTGTGTGTGTGTCTGTTTCCAATCATATCGTGGTCCAGCCCAAGGAAAGATTCCTTTTAAAAAATATTTTTATTTATAAATTTGTCAAACAAAATGTATAAGCATCCTTTCCCCCCTCTTTTTACAATATCTTAGACAAAAGAGTATGTCATATTACATACAATCTAACAATAAAAGAAAAACATCAAAAACATTTTAAAGCCTATTTCTTATCATTATTTTAAAATTTCCATTACAACTTACACTACGTATAACTCTTATCACACACCTTTTATCTACTTATACATGTTTTATTTCTTTATAATTATTATTATACCGTCCCCCCGCCCCCTTCCCTTTAGTTTGTGGCCCCTTACCAGGACCAACCCACTTAAGTTGTTTCACAATTCCAAAATGTCATTGTTTCTCTTGCTGGCTTGTATCCCTTTCCCTCATTAAAAATATACTCAATAATTTTTCCCCATATTTTCCAAAAGTCTGTTTGTTTACATATTTCCTTTTTAATTTTAATATTGCAAGTTAGCCTATTGTTAATAGCTATATTCCAGATTTCCCTATACCATTCTTCTAATTGAATCTCTTTTTTTTCTTTCCGGTTTTTTGCTATTAGCAGTTTAGCTGCTGTTATCAAATTAGAAACCAATTCTTTCTCCCCTTGTAATGGAATTGTATTCTTCACTTCACTTCACCTTATTTCTTAATTAGTCGCTCTCCACCAAGGTGCTCCAAGCGACTTACAATTTAAAATAGCATTTACACAATATAAAAACATTCAACAGTGACTATTTGACAAATTAGATCTGATCACTTTACTTAAATGCACAACCAAACAGCCAAGTCTTGAGTGCCTTTACAAAAGGTCGCAACTCTGACATTGCTCTAATGTATGGAAGCAATGAGTTCCACAGAATTGGAGCGTAGATCGAAAAAGCTCTACGATGCCTTGTAGCTTCCAGGTGTACCTCCCTCCCTAGGGCCCGGTATGTAGAGGAGATCTTCCTGGGTGGATCGAGATGACCACTGATGGAGAAAAGGAATGAGGTGGTCCTTAAGATACAAAGGTCCTTGGCCATTTTGAGCTCTAAATGTCAGGATCAGTATCTTCTAAGAGATCCGATGTTCTATTGGTAGCCAATGCAGTTGTTGCATGGGATCTTATAGATGATCCCACTAGCAGCCTGGCCACCGCATTTTGGACCATCCGAATCTTCTGAGTTGTTGACTTTGGAAGGCCGGCATATAAGGCGTTGCAATAGTCCAACCTAGTGGTGACTGTTGCGTGGATTACTGTTGCCAATGCTTCTACTGAAAGGTAGGATGCCAATTTCCTTGCCTGGCGAAGATGAAAAAAGGCCTGCTAACTTATGACAGTGATCTGGGCCTCCATCGTCAGCGATGTGTCCAACACAACCCCAAGGCTTTGATCAGTGGCAGACAGAACCAGAGCTTCCCCATCGAAATAATAAGTAATAATGCTAATTTTGGTGCAATCTTAATCTCTATTTTTATTATTGCTCTTATTTCTTTAAATATGCTTTCCCAAAATGTTTGTATAGTTTTACATGGCCACCACATATGAAGGTACGTCCCTATTTCTTGACAGCCTCTCCAACACTGATTTGAGTATTTTTTTATCAACCTGATTTAATCTAATGGGAGTTAGATACTGTCAGGTGCATCTCCGCACAGCAAGGCAAGGAAACACATCGATCACAGTCTCCTTTCGGCTATAAACTAATTTATTGTACATCTATTTACATTAAAAGCTAAGCACATCGTAAAACTGCTCCCCCCCCCCCCCCCCCCCCGCCCCTAAAATGGCTAAATCCCATGGTTCCTCCCTGTTGGGCTCCTTTCCTACAAATGCATTTTTATCCCTATCTCACCCAGGATTTTAACTTTTTTAACATTTTACCTCACACATTTGGCCCGCCCTCCGTGTCTGGTTTTAATATGCTGTTTTATATTGTTGATTCTGTTATTTTATATTTTGTTATGATGTATTTTGTTACTGTGTGTTTATTATGTTGTATTATTTTGGGCTTGGCCTCATGTTAGCTGTACCGAGTCCCTTTGAGGAGATGGTAGCGGGTTATAAATAAAGTGTATTATTATTATTATTATTATTATTATTATTATTATTATTATTATTATTACTCTCCATTTGGCAGCTACATTGCGAACATAGAACACGCTGCTATCAGCATTAGTCCACACCTCCTGCATTCCAGAGTGACGTATGACATACAATGCACTATGTTGCGTCCATTGCTCTCTGCACTAAGATTTATAACTTCTCTAGTTCAGTTACGTCTTTCCACACAGGAATACTCTCGGCACATAGCACTATATTTTAAACATACATACATACATACCTTGAAATCTACATAACACATCGACAGATACCACCTCCATATCATTTTATAGTAATTTTCCTTAATTCTTATAGACATATTTTTTAGTAATATCATACTCCATAAGCTTGCCCATTCTTGATTGGTCCTCTTCAGATTGGGCTTCAACCCCCTCTCTCCTTTCTTTCTTTCTTTCTTTGTGCAGGGTAGCCCTGGCTTTCACTGGCATTAGCCTCTTGGTGACAGGCACAACCATGGTGGGCTACTTGCCCAATGGAAGGTGAGTTCTCAGCCATGTATCACTGGGAAGATCACTGTCTGTGAGTGGATGTTGGAAAGACTCAAAATTGATTTCAGGAGTTGGGATTTCGTGAGGTCCTTGCTTCTGTCTTGATCTCTCTAATTCAGTGGTTCCCAACCTGTGGTCCGGGCACCACCAGTGGTTCGCAAGAACAAAAATATGGTCTGCAGCCTCAGCATTAATACACCGTTGCCTCGAAACCATGCAACAACGAGAGCAACCGGTCTCGCAACTGGGATTTCAGGAGGGGAGAGGCTGACTGCCTACAAAAAACTACGACTACCACATCATTTATTTATTATTTATTACGGTCGCTTATACCCCGCCCTTCTCACCCCGATGATGTACTTTGGGCTTGCCCTCATGTAAGCCTCATGTAAGCCGCACCGAGTCTCTTGGGGAGATGGTAGCGGGGTACAAAAAATATTATTATTATTATTAGTAGTAGTATTATTATTAGTTCACTTACATCCAGACAGCACTGTGGACTCAAGCAATGATAGATCTGGACCAAACTTGGCATGGAAACTCAGTCGGATCTGGCCACGGTGGTCCACGCTCTTGTTACATTCCGATTAGATTACTGCAACGCACTCTACGTGGGGTTGCCTTTGAAGACTGCTCGGAAACTCCAACTAGTCCAGCGTAAGGCAGCCAGACTGCTCACCGGGGCGTCATACAGGGAGCATACCACCCCCCTGTTGTGTCAGCTCCACTGGCTGCCGATCCAGTTCCAAGCACAATTCAAAGTGCTGGTTTTGACCTACAAAACCCTATACGGTTCCGGCCCAGCGTATCTGTCCGAACGGATCTCCCTCTACGTCCCACCTCGGAGTCTAAGATCTTCTGGGGAGGCCCTGCTCTCGGCCCCGCCTCTATCACAAGTGAGATTGGCGGGGACGAGGAGCAGGGCCTTCTCGGTGGTGACCCCTCACCTGTGGAATTCACTCCCCGGGGAAATTAGATCTGCAACATCGCTCCTTTCCTTCAGGAAAAAACTAAAAACATGGATTTGGGACAATCAGGCAGATAAAGAAAGAACTTTGATGATGACTAGGAAATGATTAATGGATTAGATCTATGGAACTCTGGAAAACGAAACGCTGATTATGAGAATGGTTTTATATGATGTTTTATATGATGTGTTATGTACTGGTTGTTTGATTGTTTTAATTGTGATAACTGTTTTTAACTACGTTTTTGTATATTATGTGTAAGTTGTACAGGCATCGAATTGTGCCTTTTTTGTAAGCCTCCCTGAGTCCTCCTTCGGGGGTTGAGAAGGGCGGGGTAAAAGTACCCGAAATAAATAAATAATGACCACATGTGGACAGTGATGGAGTTTTGGGGAAAATAAACCTTGATGTTTGGGTGTTATAGTTGCTGGAATTTATAGTTCACCTACAATCAAAGATCATTATGAATCCCATCAATGATAGAATTGGGCCAAACTTCCCACACAGAACCTTCATGACCAAGAGAAAAGACTGTGTTTTCGATGGTCTTTGGTGACCCCTTTGGCACCACCTCACGACCCCCCCAGGGGCCGTGACCCCCAGGTTGAGAAACACTGCGTTAGAGAATCGAAGCAGAGGGGTTTTGAAAGCCAGCTGTCGTATGAGCAGCTTCCAGAAGGTGGCACTAAAGAATGTTGAGAGTTCTCTCCCACTTCTTTGGATTAGCAATACTTATGTTAAAGAGGAGTCTCAAGCTATGCATTATGACTCCCGGGAGGCTTTCAGGTCTGTGCTGGCTACACCTTTGTTTTAGCAAGGGATTTGTTTTGTCCCTTTAGGTGCAAGGAGTTCCTGAGCAAGCACGTGCACCTGATGTGTTACCGGATTTGTGTGCGAGCCCTTACAGCCATCATCACTTACCACCACCGGTAAGGAGGGGTTGACGGGATGGCTCCTTGAAGATTGTTTTATTTATTTATTTATCGTGTCAGGAGCAACCAGACATTTGTATTACATTTTTAACAAAACAAACAAACAAACAGTAAAAACACAAAGTTGGCAAGCTTGGTAGTTGATTAAATGTCCTTTGACCAATATCTGGCCCCTTGGAGTGCCTCTGGTGTTGCCGCAAGAAGGTCCTCCCTTGTGCATCATGTGGCAGGGCTCAGGTTGCATTGCAGCAGGTGGTCAGTGGTCTGCTCTTCTCCACACTCGCATGTTGTGGACTCCACTTTGTGGCCCCGTTTCTGAAGGTTGGCTCTGCATCTCGTGGTGCTAGAGCGCAGTCTGTTCAGCGCCTTCCAAGTCGCTCCAGTCCTCTTGTGTGCCCAGGGGGGAGTCTCTCATTTGGTATCAGCCATTGGTTGAGGTGCTGGGTTTGAGCCTGCCACTTTTGGACTCTCGCTTGCTGAGGTGTTCCAGCGAGTGTCTCTGTAGATCTTAGAAAACTATTTCTTGATTTAAGTCGTTGACGTGCTGGCTGATACCCAAACAAGGGATGAGCTGGAGATGTCTCTGCCTTGGTCCTTTCACTATTGGTTGCTTCTTCCCGGCGGATGTCAGGTGGTGCAATACCGGCTAAGCAGTGTAATTTTTCCAGTGGTGTAGGGCGCAGACACCCCGTGATAATGCAGCATGTCTCATTAAGAGCCACATCCACTGTTTTAGCGTGGTGAGATGTGTTCCACACTGGGCATGCATACTCAGCAGCGGAGTAGTAGCACAGCGCAAGGGCAGATGTCTTCACTGTGTCTGGTTGTGATCCCCAGGTTGTGCCAGTCAGCTTTCGTATGATGTTGTTTCTAGCGCCCACTTTTTGTTTGATGTTCAGGCAGTGCTTCTTGTAGGTCAGAGCATGGTCCAAAGTGACTCCCAGGTATTTGGGTGTGTTGCAATGCTCCAGTGGGATTCCTTCCCAGGTAATCCTCAGAGCTCGGGATGCATTGCCCAAACACGAATCAAGGAACATGAAAGGCACTGCAGACTACTCCAACCAGAGAAGTCAGCCATAGCAGAGCACCTGAGGAACCAGCCTGGACACAGCATTTTATTTGAGAACACAGAAATGCTGGACCACTCTCACAACCACCATGTCAGACTACACAGAGAAGCCACTGAAATACACAAGCATGTGGACAATGTCAACAGAAAGGAGGAAACCATGAAAAAGAACAAAATCTGGCTACCAGTATTTGAAAAAACTCTAAAATTAAAACAACAAAACAGCAGAGTGAAAACAATCAGGGACATCTAATCACCTCTCAAAAGATTGCTCCAGGCACTGCCAGGCTATCAAATGCTAATCAAGGTGGTCAGTTGAAACATTCACACCTAGCTCCAGCAGACAAGAGTCCTTTGTCCCACCCTTGTCTTTCCACAGATATACAGGGTTAGTCAAAATGAATAGGCCAATAAGAAAATTAATTTTAGACAAATGTATGTTTACTGTAACCAAACCACAGCTACGTAGCGACAGATAAACTATCAAAGTTTTTTTTGAGCAACACACATGTACGTTAATGCCGCTAGGCGTCGCTAGGGGTCGCTGTTTTCAAAATGGCGGAATCAAGCAAAGAGAAGGCGTTTTGTGTGGTGACATTTGCTAAAACAATGTCAGTAATTACGGTCCAGCGAGAATTTCAAGGGTTAGGGTTAGGGTTAGGGTTAGGGTTAGGGTTAGGGATAGGGTTAGGGATAGGGTTAGGGCTAGGGATAGGGTTAGGGTTAGGGTTAGGGATAGGGATAGGGTTAGGGATAGGGTTAGGGATAGGGTTAGGGTTAGGGTTAGGGATAGGGTTAGGGTTAGGGTTAGGGATAGGGTTAGGGATAGGGTTAGGGATAGGGTTAGGGTTAGGGTTAGGGATAGGGATAGGGTTAGGGTTAGGGTTAGGGTTAGGACCTCAACGAACACCTTCCCAGACGTTGCTGCATTCGATGCCATTACGTCGGATGTGCTGCAACGGATGTGGAATGAACTGGACTATCGCTTGGACATCTGCCGTGTCACACGGGGCGCCCATATCGAACATCTCTGAAGGTGAGACAAAACTTTGATAGTTTATCTGTCGCTACGTAGCTGTGGTTTGGTTACAGTAAACATACATTTGTCTAAAATTAATTTTCTTATTGGCCTATTCATTTTGACTAACCCTGTATAAACCCTTTTTCCTAGTTCCAACAGACCTCACTACCTCTGAGGATGCTTGCCATAGATGCAGGCGAAACGTCAGGAGAGAATGCCTCTAGACCATGGCCATATAGCCCGAAAAAACCTACAACAACCCAGTGATTCCAGCCATGAAAGCCTTCGACAGTACATTATTATTATTATTATTATTATTATTATTATTATTATTATTATTTTAAGGGAGCGGAAATGGTCAACATTTTCTAACGTTACACCATTAAGTTGTATTTCTGGCATTGGAGAGGGATTGGCCGGTGACTGCTGGATGAGCACTCACATGGTCAATGACAGGTCGAGCTTCTCATATGCTTCTGCGAAGGTGTTTAGAGTGGCTTGTACGTGTTCTTCTGAATGCACACAGACAACGTTGTCATCAGCATACTGGCGTTCTATAACAGATATTGTTGTGAGCTTGGTTTTTGGCTTTCCTTTAGTCTGCTGAGGTTAAATAGCTTGCCATCTGTCTGAGAGATGATTTCCACTCCAGTGGGAAGCTTCCCGTCAAAAAGATGAAGTAAGATCGTCTGGGGAGGCCCTGCTCTCGATCCCGCCTGCGTCACAGGCGCGCTTGGTGGGGACGAGAGACAGGGCCTTCTCAGTGGTGGCCCCTCGGCTATGGAATGCCCTACCGGCAGACATCAGGCAGGCACCTTCACTGCTGACGTTTCGGAGAATGGTTAAGACCTGGCTTTATGAACAAGCGTTTGGTTAAGCAGTGCAACCAATCATAGGAAGACGGTAAATGGAACATAGGAATGGCACAAGGATTATGAGAACGGATCTGATTTCAACTGAGGCGTTATGTTATGTCTGTTTTGTTCTGTCTTGTTGATTGTTAATTGTTGTGGATTGATGCTGTTGATCCTGTTGTTGCATTGTTATGTTTTAATTGCACTGACACTGTTTGATAATTGTACCATGTAAACCGCATTGAGTCGCCTGTTAAGGGCTGAAAAATGCGGTATAGAAATAAAGCAAATTAAATAAATAATAATAATATCATAGCGATGAAGATGGAAAATAAGGTTGGGGCAATAACACATCCTTATTTGACACCTGAATCCACCTTAAATGGGTCACTTTGGGAGCCATTGCTGTCCAAGACTGTTGCCATCATGGAGGAGCTGCAAAGGTGTTCACAAATTTGTCACAGCACCCAAAGTTTTGGATGATGGTCCAGAAAATTATGCGTGCAGGCAAACCTAAACCCAATGCTCTTTTTGGGGCTCAAATGCCACATTTTCAAGCTTTTTCTTTCTTTTTTTCAGGGAGAACAGACCCCGCAATGGAGGAATCTGCGTGGCTAACCACACTTCCCCGATTGATGTCATAATCCTGGCCAGCGATGGCTACTATGCGATGGTGAGGACAATGAACCTTAGCTTCTGTGTCTAGGCGTAGGTCGAGCAGGATTTTTTTTCCTCCACACATTTTTTCTTTAAGATTCCGATTTAATAAATACCATTTGGTGAGTGCTGTCAGATAGCATCAGTTGTGCTTGGGTGTAAACAAAGTTAATCAACAAATATAAAAATAAATATGCTGAATATAAGCCGAGGCACCAAATTTTACCACAAAAAACTGGGAAAATGTATGGACTCAAGTCTAAGCCGAGGGTGGGAAATGCAGGAGAGACAGATCAATTTCAAAATAGAAATAGATGCCAATAAAATTACATTAATTGAGGCATCCATAGGTTCAATGTTTTTGAATATTTATATAAAAAAAAAAAACCTGTAATTTAAGCTTAGGCTGTCCAGCTCTGAGTAAACCATTATTCTAACCTTCTTCAATGTAAATGTGCTTATGTATCCTTCCAATAACAATAAGGAGAGTAAAACAATAAATGTAATAATAAAATAATAAATATAGTGAAATAATAAATGTGATAATAAAAATAATAGAG